CAACCATAAAGCCCTGCCAACAATTGAAGCCCTAGTGCACCCAGACTAATAAAACTTGAAAAAGAGCCCCCTTGTTTTCCTCAACTAGCCTCAGCTAGAAACTAGCCTTGTCCATGTAAAATGGATACCTTTGGTACCACAATGGGGGAAGTCAGGAGGCAAAGATGAGGAGCAAGAGCATTCCAGGTGTGGGGAAGAGTCAGTGAAAATTCCCAGGGTCCAGAGATAGAGTGTCTTGTTCAAGGAACAGCAAGGAGGCCAATGTATACAATGATCACAGAGTACTTGCTGAGAGATATGATTTAAGAAGACTGGAAAGATGTATGTGTATGTGTGTATATGTAGGAAGAGAACAAGGAGAGAGTAATTCCATAGAAACCTAGAAAGAAGAATCAAAAAGGAGAGGGTCATTATCAATGGAAAAGACAGGAAAGAGAGCTCAAGGATGAGGATTGAGAAAAGGCCATCAGGTAGCTCTAATTGTTAGGAAGTTTTGTTTGTTTGTTTTTTCTTTAGCCTTAACTTGCTTCTTTGCCACTCTCACCCATATTCCTAATTCTGTCCTACTGGTGCCAACAGAACATGTATAATTACTCTTCCACATAAGAGAACCTTCAGACACCAGAATAATCTATAAATTTCCTCCTAAGTTTTTTCTTCTCTAGGCTAAATATCCTCATTTCTTTCAACCAATTCCTATATGGCATGATTTTGCAGAACTTTCTATATTTCTATAGCACCCTTCACAGGTTGTGGTCATGGTTTGTCCTTCATTCTCAAACAGGACCATGACACCAGGAAGGTGATGCCTTGACTTGCAAGTGAATTGGCTTTAAGTAAGGGAGTACAGTGTAAAGTCACCAGCCTCACTTTCTCCTATGGAGCCATCTGGGTCCAGTGGACAGATATGTATCAGGACAAGTGGAGATGGGAGACCTTGGCCTTTTTAAGCTAAGGTTTTTCTGAGTTCTTACTTTGACTAAGGCATCACAAATTTCAGTGATTAGGGCTGTTTAAGAAGTGAACCAAGAGATGACTACTTCAACCACTCTTCCCTCCAAAAAATATCAAACTGCAAGGGGAAAACCCTTAGGGTTTCTGGCCAAAAGAGAATCAATTAGCATTTACACTCACAGTTTCCTCATCTGTAAAATATGGGGGTTGCACTAGATGGCCTCTGAGGTCTCTTCCAGCTATGAATTTAACTTCTATCCAAAAGAACTATACAGGCCTTTAACAAGCCTTGTCTGACTAGCATTATTCTAAGGATTTGGGTTCTCCCTTGAAGGGAAATGAAATTGGAATTGCTAGAGCAAGGACTGTCTTTTGCCTCTTTTTGTATCCCTAGCACTTAATACCATGTCTGGTACATAATAGTACTTAATAGCAGCGCTTAATGTTTTTAATTGAGAATCAAATGTATGACCAACTTCAACATGCCTTGTCCTTCTCTACTCTTGGGGTTAGTCATATAGTTGAGAGGTTCAAGTATACTAAGTTAGCTCTTAGTCCTATCCTGTTTCCCTTTCTCTACACCTCCACCAACTGAGAACTAACACTGGCACATCTGTCCTTCTCTTTTCATAGCTATAGTCCTAGGATTCAGTTCAGATAGGAATGAATTCAATAATTCTGAATGCTGAGATTTAATTTCTCAATAAAGTATGAATAGGTTGATCAATACTCAAGTTGAGGGTACTGGTCAACCTAGTTAGTCAACTGGGACTCAGGAACCCCGAAGCTCCCAAAAGATGTCCCCAGTAATCCCAATGAAGTGTTAATGGCTAAGCCCATACCTTTGTCATTGTTTAGTTGTTTTCAGTCATGTCTGACTATTCATGATCCCTTTTGGGGTTTTCAGTAATCAAAATTCAGATGCTTTCTATTTTAGCCTCATTAAGCTGTTTGTGTTTATTCCTGGGCACATTCTTTATAGGTGGATGCCAAATTGATTGAATGATCATAATCAGAGTAGTCATTCATAGTTCAATGTTCATTTGGAAGGAAATCTCCAGGGGGAATCTCTGCTTAGGTCTGTTTTACAACTTTACCAATGACTTGGATAAGGCATGAGTCAATCTTCAAGTGTAAGAGTTTATGTTTATCCCTATTAAAATGTATATACATATATGTGTGTTTATATATATACATATATATACACACATACATACAAGTATCACAAAGTAGATAACAAAAGTGACTAATAATGTATTGTCAAAGAAATGTGAAGTAAGGAAGATAAGAATGGGATGGGGATGAATTATAAATGGTTAAGAGAGGTCTGTGATGATCTGGATTGTATAGAAAGAGTTGATGTAGCATTTAAGAGGAAGTATAAAGAGTTTCTGGGGGTGGGCCACATAATAATTAAAGGCGATATGGGTGCAAGAGTGTATGAGCCAATGAATAAATCACCCTTGTGATCCAAGAGGATATATCTTGAGAAGAAGTGAAAAATAAGCTTATAGAAGTGAATGGTGGGGAAAGGTTATGGTGTGAATGGGACACTGGCCTTTGAAATGAAAGAAATTTTAAGAATGGAGAAATATTCAGACTTGGTCACAGAATGGATATGGGAAGTAACAGAGAGATAAATTAAGGATAGCTCCATAATTTTGATCCAAGGGAGAAAGGATAGCTGTGCCCTCAAGGAGGTTATTGATAAAAAGAACAGTCTCATATGTATAAGACTATTCATAGCAGCATTATTTGTGACAGTAAAAATCTGGAAACAAAATATGTTCCCAATAATTGGAGAATGGTGAAATAAATCATGGTACAGGAATGTAATGGAATATAACTGGGATATAAGGAAAGACCAATATAAACAATTCAGAGAAACATGAGAAGACTCATGTGAAGTGATACAGAGTAAAATGAGCATAGACAAAAGAGTAATATATACAACTACAGTACCAAAAAAGACAACATGGAGACAAAAGTCTTTTAAAAAGAAAAAAAAGGCGGAGGGAAGGATGTTTCAGAGATAGGAGAAATGTTTGCAAGTGCATCCCATTCCATAGGGGAATTTAAGAGAAAACAACAACAAAACAAATGGAAGGTTTGTTTCCTTCTTTAAATTACAGAAGACTCTAAAAAATAGAAAGAGTGAAGGAATAAGAACTAGGAGCTAGAAGCCAACTTGCTCTGTTGTCTCTGGACCCATTGTCTCTACTGTTACATCAATTTTGGTTTCTGTGAGATTTCCCCTCCCATAACCACAATTTCTTGACAATGCCATTCCCAAGTTTGAGAAACAAAGGTAAAAGTAAAAGAAAATCACCTCCAAGCTTCATAATCATTAAAAGAAAAAATACCAGACTGGCAGATCTTTCCATGTAGGATTATAAATGTATCTGTTCAAACTCATAGCAGTAGCATTACAATGCATACATCAGATTCCTTTAGATGGATTGAAACATGAATGTGGGAGATATTAATAACTATTCCTACTAGTTTCATGTCCAGAACAGCACGAGGATTGTGGTAGTGTCTCAAATCCATCTGAAGGAAAAGACTCATCAAAGACTTGAATAGTAACAACTCTATAATATAAAAGCTACAAAGCTGAAATAACAGATGGACATCATCTAACATTCAAACATGACAACTTCATTGCTAAACTAGAAATCCATTTCTGTTGCTGAAAGTGTGAAAAATAAAGGCTTTTGGGGAGTATTTTAACTTTGAGCATTCAATGCTAGGGAAAGACCTGCAGCAGATTCATCAGGATGGAGAAGAGAGAAAGGAAAGGTGGGAGAAAAGCATCGCATACACTTCTGTAAAGAAAATGTTTTATTTAAAGTGTGAATTACCATTACCAGAATGAATTGATTTACATTAGTTGGCGTTCAGTATAGGCCTAATCTGCCCTTTTGTTCCAACTGGGATTCCCTTTATGTTTAAAACATATTATGTACAAGACAGCAATGGTCACTGGAATCGTCCTATTTACATGACTAAATCATAGGTAGAATTGCAGACATGAAAATTAAAAAAAATACATCAACTTTTAAATAAATACTGCATAATGACAAATATGTACAAATATTCCACATGGTCATGTCCTTCTTATTAAAATTAGAAATAATTTATATAGGAATATGCACAAAAGATTACTTGACTGTATCTCAGTATCAGGAAAATGATAACAGGTTTTTTTTAATTCTAATGGATATTATGGACTGCATGTCTCTTTAATCAATTGTTGCTGGTACATAGGCATCTAAATTATTTCAATATACATAGTTTAATTGGTTTCTTCAACAACTCAATATCGATCCATTGTACATCTCAGAATGTCAAGACATAGTCTTGGTGAATTTCATATTGCACCACATAAAGAAGGCATTTTTAGTGATACTCCTTGTAACTTCTGTACCCTATCAGGCATGACTTTTTTCTAAATGGGCAGCATTAGATTTTCGAACAAACAAAATATCCAATAACTCTGTGTGCATGGCCTTAATTTAAAGGTAAATGAATGCTGTGTACACTTCCAAGAATGTATGTATGTTATGGACCCAGAACAGATGGGTTTTTAGATGTTAGCTAAGTCCTATTTCCTTTAAACAGGACAATTGATCACAAGTTTGAACTTGCAGCAGCACGCCCCTCTCCTTCTCTACCATGTTAATAATTGCTGCTTAAATTGAAAATGGGGATTTTGATTAACTAGAATTTTACTTTGAGACATTTGGTGATGGCATTAATGAACAAGTAAACACATTCAACTTTTTTTCAGAACAATTAGAAAATACACATGAAGCTTTTTCGGACATTTTCCCAGCAGGTTTTTGTGTACCATGAAGTTTTCCTCAGAAGTATACTTTATAAAGAATTGAATTTTATAGAACAAAAATAAATAATTAATTTTTTTTAGTTTGTTAAGATTGTTTAGTACTGAATGACTATTCAGAATAAATGGAAACCAGTAAAATAAATTAATTTTTCATTTAAAAATATTAAGACCTTCCAGAAATAATACTTCAGTCCCTGGATGAAAGACACTAGTGCTGAAAACAGATTTATTAAAGTCATAACACAATGGCCACATGACTCCAGGATTTTGTTGTAGAATTCAATTTGAAGGTGAGAAAAAATAAAAATAAGTTACCATGCACTGTACAATAAACTGCAAAAAGTTCAAATATCTTCTTTATCAAATACATGCTGACTTACTTTAATGTACTCCCAAGCCATGTTGCAAAATCCTTTTCAACATGCTGGAAATAATGAAAGCTCTTAAAAGTACTCTTTTTCTCAAAGAATTCAGAAATGCAGAACGATCTGCAATCCTAAACCAAAGATGGGGCATATGAGAATATTAAGTCAAAAAATAGCAGTTTTAGAGTATAGTGATCATCCTGGTAAGTGGGGAGTGGGTGGGTGGGTGGAGGAAATCATATGAGGCAGAAGAAGGTGAGATAGAGAAGAGGAGGAAAGATGTGTACAATTTGCTCATAATGTTGAACTTTGCAACCTTTTACATTTAAATAAATTGAATACATTACACTTGTCACATAAAGAATTTTCAGTATTTTTCTAGAAAGTATTGTCATTTTTGATGTCTGCAAAACACAGACCATGATTAAGGAATGATAAACGTGGTGTGTCTTTGTATCACCTTGTTGCATTCTCTCCCTTTTAAAACCATGCACTAGTGAAATTTTTTTAAAAAAATAATATAAATTGTTGAAAATGGCTGATTTTATTCTTTTTTTTTTGCAAGTTGCAGCCCCGAGAAAATAATTTAAGTATTCAGCTAAACTGTGTCCATGCAAAAAAGTTTCTTAATTTCATACAGTACAGTATAGCCACAGAACTTGTTTTTCAGAGTCTATCACATCTTGGCTTTCACTGAAATGACAGGTGGAGCTAGAGGTCTGCCACTGCTCATCTTGGACGCTGCCAGCATGTGCTGGGCTTCTTCACTTTATCCTCAGTTCCATAGGAGGTTTAATTTTTTTTTTCTGACCATTCCTTTGGTCTCTGGCTTGTCACCTCATGTTTCATACTACCCCACTAACTTGTAATGGCTTCATGGTCACATAGCTCCCTTTCTGTGACATAACTAGGCTTTTTTTTGAGGGGGAGAGGGAGGTAAGGAACATGTTAGGGAGAACAGAAATTTGTTTTTTAAAGGAGCAGAAAATAAAGATGTAATTGAAAAGGACGTTTGTTGCATGAGACAGATTTATATTAATCCATGGCTTCAGATTAGACCAAAAAATGAGTGTCATTGAACTCCAAACCCATTAGTTCTTCATAGCTCCACTCCTTCACCTGAGGGCCTTCTTTAGGGCACAATGTGTGCAGCTTCCTCTGAGAACACAGGATCGCTTTGTATCCCTAGAAACAGGCTCAGAAGACACAACAGTAAGCATGCAGTGTTACCAGGGTTTGCGACCTGTCATTTTTTTTTTTTGTAACGCTGGTTGCTATGACAGTTTTACAGATGCTATGAACGAGCATAAGAAGGTCCCGTTGAACTTTCCAAAGATGATTGGGAAGCTCTTCTAGTCAGAGGGGCCAAAGTCGGATCTACTAGGGAAGAAGGGGGGAACAGTTTGAACCATCCAATCACCATATTAGACAACTCCAGTTCATCTAAAAGTATCTGGGCCACTCCCATAAAGGATTTATGATCCATTCGTCCATAATCTCCCCAAACAATGATCTGTTGGTAAAGTAGAAAGGAGAAAAATTTCAGTACGAACAAATAAATGATATTAGTTTATGTGCTAAAATGTACTTCATTCATGTTATGTAGAAAAATAATGTAAATAGCTGTATTTGATCACTGCCATATTTAATTATTCTGTTGCTATAGTAAAATGGCAAATTGGGAAAGCTACTTTTGTAACTATGTAGATAAAATTTAGATCATAAGCATTCTAGGGAAGTTAAATTTACACGTGAAGCAAAGTTCACACATTTAGTCTCCTCAAAGGAGACCATTGTTAAGCTTGAAAGCACTGACCATAACTTTGGGACACAATCGTTTCAATTATTTCCAGAAATAGGGAAAAGAATGGAATGTGACAGGACACATAGTCTATGAAGGTCTACTCTGGAAAAGTACTTTTCTACATAAAAAGGGAGAAATTCAATAAATACCTGTAAAACTTTTCCCTGTGGGCTTTCATCAAATGACAACAGCTGTTGGTAAAGAGGTTCCAGTGTTTTTCTTGCCACTTTTGTTTTCTTTTTGGCTATGCAGACTCCATTATCTAAGAGATATACCTTTACATATGGTGCTGAGAAAGAGAAAAGAAAGGGAAAGAAGTAAAGAGCTACTCTGAGTGAATGACTCAAACTTTGCTCTGGTGTGTGTGTGTGTGTGTGTGTGTGTGTGTGTGTGTGTGTGTGTTCCAAACAGGAGCCAAATTAGGTGTTGAAAGAGCTCAAGACCATGAGATGATAATCATAGGCTAGAGTTCTAAACAAAGAATCTTAAAACATCTGGCTAAAAAGTGAAAAATAAAATGAGTATATTTTGGAGTCATGGATACATTGCCTTTGAATTGGGTACTGATCTGATATTACCTTAGTACTGAAATCTGAAAATTTTATTAAGCAAGTTTTTTGAATTGAGTATTACAAAATATCTACACAAATATATCTTAATTCAAGAATGATGCCTTACACTAGAAGTATGGGAAGTGGGTGAGTGGATAGAACCAGATGGAAATGTTTAACAAATAAAGAAAAATACAATACAACTCAGATAATGCTAATTTGTGGTTTTCTAAGTCACTGTGTAGCCCACAAGAATCTATTTCCATTTGAGTTTGGCCCGATGGCCTTAGGCAACCTATATTTTAAAAAAAATAGATGCCCAAAATTATACGATAAGCTTAGAACTAATTACATTTTCCACCTATCCCCAAATTAACTTGCTTTATATTTAAGTGCATATAATCTTTAAGCAAAGGATGTGTGTGATAAGTTTAAATTAAGTTGGGATGGAGCAGGCAAAAATTATGAATGCTGTAAATTGATTTTTCCTCTGTGACATTAAAAATATTTTTTTCAACCATGGGAAAACAACAAAAGTGTAGCGTAAGTCAAATAATTTTAGAAAGGCTATTTAATAAATAATATGTAACATAAAAAAATTTTTAAATACACTGATAAGTTAGAAGGTTCAAGATCACTGTCAGTCAGTGGAAGATCTTACTATGAACTATTACTAACTCCACTGTCTTTCACTAGAGACATCATTTTCTCTTCAATTTGATTTTGTAGTTTATGCATAATAATAAACACCTTAAGACTACAGTGATGTTGAAGTACTAAATGTGCTATCAGTGAATACTTTCACAAAAGCATCTTTTTGTGTTTGTTGCTTCCAAAATATAGGAAGGGACACTTTTAGAACAGCTTTTATATCAGACATATTCTTAATGTATTTCTGAGGCCCATGTGTTTCCTTCATTATAACATCAAGCTCTTACTTAATGGGGGAAATTTCTTCAGAGCATTAATTAATGAGAAACTGGCCTTTTCACATAAAGTATGACAATGTATAAATTAATAATCTATATCTTCAGCCTTAATATATCCCCCAGAGATCTAATTGCACATTTCAACAAGTTGCCAGCATATAGATAGAACTGAGAATATTGCCTCATATTTTGCTGAAAAAATTAAGGCCATTTGCTAAGAAATCTTCTCCCCTCCTTATTTTGGATCACTCTGATGCCTCTGTTGCTTCACTCCTGTCTCACATGAAGAGGTTATGTTCTCCTTGCCAAGGCAAACCACTCTACATGCATACGGTGTCTCATTCTATCCTGTCCTCCCAGAATTACAGGCTCCAAACCTGCCCCTTATATTCCACAGTTTAACATTTTTACAAATTTTATGGTTCTACTGCTATCATTTTCATCTCGGTGCCCTCTTTACATTCCACTGCAAACACTTTATTTCAGGCTCTTATTAACTCTCACTCAAGCCTCCTAATTGGTCTTTTTATTTTTAGTCTCTTTCTTCTCCAATATATCCTTCATAAGAACATCCAAATATTCTCTCTCATCATAGTTTCAAAGTTGCAAGGAACCTAAGAGTCAACCCATACCTAACAGGAATACCCTCCATAAGGGTCCAACTGATTGCCTCTTAAAACTATCTCCTGAAATGGTTCAGCAGAGTTCAGGGCCTAGAGTCAAGAAGATTCATCCTCCAGAGTTCAAATCTGGCCTCAGACACTTACTAGCTGTGTGACCCTGGGTAAGTCACTTAACCTTGTTTGTCTCAGTTTCCTCATCTGTAAAATAGGTGGAGAGGGAAATGGCAAACTACCCCAGTATCTTTGCCAAGAAAACTCCAATTGGGGTCACAAAGAATCAGACGACTAAAAAAACGATTGAACAACAACAGTAAATACTTATCAGACTTCCATATAACAACCATTCTAATAGTAGAAGACCATTAGAAACAGCTAGTTTGTGCCTTGGATAAGCCACTATCTGGGCCGGGAATCAGGAAGATGTGAATTCAAAGGTTGCCTCAGGATTGTTGTGAGAATCATATTAGATAATATTTGTAAAGTGCTTAGTACAGTGCTTAGCACACAGTAGACATTTAATAAATGGCTGTTCTTTTCCCTCCTTCAGATTACCATGGTCCATATTGGCCTTCTCCTCCAGGTTAAACATCCCTAATTTGTTCACCTGTTCCTTATATGGCAATGGTTCCCAGCCCACTCCATTAATAGATGATGTGCTTCTATTAATGGATCTAAAATCACAGTAGTTGTTTTGTTGCCATATCACATTAACTCATACTGAGCTGGCAGGACACTAAAATATTCTGGTGTTTTGGGGGTTTTGTGTGTGTGTGTGTGTGTGTGTGGTATCTTACTTCGTCATGCCTCGCTGAATCCCATAGTTGTGTGGTACATTTTTTTAAACCTAGATTTAGAAACTTACATTTAACTCTTCTAAATTTCACTTCATTCCTCTATTCAAAAACCTTCAGTAAATCTCTATTGCCTATTAAATAGAACAAAATCTTAAACAGTGGCACGATCTGTTTTCAAATGTCTTTTCCAATTTTATATCACATTTCTTTCCTTCACATTCTCTTTAACACAGCTACATCTCACTGCTAACAATGTGTCTTTTTAGTCCACCACTCTTTCAACTCAGTGCTTTTGTCCTCATCATTCCCTCATGACTAGAATTGACTCTTCCTCATCTGTGTTGAAAGCCTTCCTTTCCCTTACCATCTAACTCAGTTGTTACCTTCTTCAGAAGTGTTCCCTGATTCCCCTAGCTTAAAGCAACTAAGACAGCTTTGTCTGGACCTTTTCGTACTTACCAGAACATTTGTCTAGACCTGGTCCTTTGCATTATCTCATTCTACCTCATGTTTGAATCTGTGTCATTTTCCTCTTAGATTGTAAATTGGGTAAGGTCTTTGTCTTACTTTTCCTTTGTTTCCACTGTCTTTTCACATAGTAGACAATCTATTCTTTGTTGGACTGAATTTCAAAATGCATCACAGAATTTCAGCAGCTTTCACTTTTGCCTCTATTAGATTAAATTTGCAGAATCATTAACTGAACTGTGGTCTCAAAAATAATGAATATTTTTCAATTATTCAATTAAAACAAATCCTCTTAAAAAGGAAAGAGTAAATGAGGCATGTGGATAGTGTTCTAATAAGAAAGATAAATCTCCAAAGGGGCTAGAAAGTACTCTTCAGTTCCTACCTGGCAGTGTCTTTGAACCTGGTTTTACAACGAGGCCACGGGCCCGAATTATTTCTACCTCTAATTGTCCTTTTTTGTCCATCATTCCAACCTGAATGTCACCTAGAAGGAATAGAAAAAGGGCATTAGCATCCAAAGGTAATCAAGGAGTTTCACATCCAGATATCGGAAGTGATCACTACTTAATTTGCCATTTGCAAATGTACTTCTGGACTGATATCAGTTTTTTATGTTATGGATTCCTTGTCTAAAAACAATACAATAAACTTTAAAACGTAATCCTATTTTTGTTCAACTCTAAAACATTTCAAATAAATATGAAATTGAAAAAAGTTCCTAAAGATTTTTTGAAATGGAGAGAATGTGACTTAGAATAACATTATCATTTACTTACATAATCATGTAACAGGAATACTCACCCATCGCTGGTGTGGCCAATGTCTGACGCCCAACTAACTGAGCTGGACCAAGGCCATCCAGAAAATCACTGAACTGGCTATCTGAGGCCAATCGGACACCAGGGAAAATCAAACTAAGAGGAAAAAGAAAAAGAAAAAAAAATATATATATATATATAAACAAGGTTAAATCCCTGTTCCTTTAGTCAAAGTCAGACACATTTTCTTTTAACACATTTCTCCTTGAAACTCCTAAAACAATCACTGTCTCTGATGACTCAATTGGCATGCCATAGACAATGTGCTGCTATCAGCTTTTTTTTTTTTTAACGCAGCTGTCTTATTTCCTTAGGTAGATTATAAGCTCCTCAATGGCAGGGAATTTGTTTTGTATTTGTTTGTATGCCCCACAGTGTCTATTATAATGCTATAAACATAGAAAGCACTAATGAATCACACAATACTGAAACTGGAAGGAACCCATATGGCTCCTAATGCAACCCATATCTGAAAATGAATCCTCATCACAAAATATCCATCAAACATGGTTTTTTAGCCTTTGCTTGAAGATCTCTTATGAGGGGAGAAAACTGTTGCTTTCCCAAAGTAGTCCACTCCATTTTTTGGACAATTTTAATTGTTTAGGAAGACTTTTCTTGCATCAAATCTAAATTTGCCTCTCTGTAACTTTCATCTATTCTTCTGCCCGCTGAGGTCAAACAAAACAAGTCTAAACTTTTTTCATGTGAGAGCTCTTCAAATATATGAACACAACTATTATGTCTCCCCTAAATCTTTTATTCTCTAGGCTTAATATCTCCAGTTTATTCAATTAATTCTCATATGGAATGAACTTGAGGACCTTCATCATTATTGTTTTCCTTTTCTGGCATTCTCCAGCTTACCAACATCCTTCCTAAAATGTAGAATACAGAACTGAACACAATATTCCACATGTGATCTGTCCATAGCAGAGTACAGTGGGACTATCACCTCCTTAGTTTGGGACACTATGTTTTTCTTTATGGAGCCCAAGAGCGCATTCACTTTCTTGCCTACTATAACCCAATGATGAACATTCTGAGCATGCAGTCCATTAAAACTGCCAATTTTTTTTTGGATGAACTATATCTAACCATACCTCTCCCATTTTATCTTTGAGAAGCTGATTTTTAAAAAACTCAGATATAAGACTTTATAACTTTTATTTTACTCAGTAGATGACAATTTCTATTTGATTTTCCATACATCTCTGATTCTCTAGCAACAATTTATTTAGACTACAACTGATGTCCACTGCAGATTGCCCTTTTTCTTTAGCTGTATCTTTTCCTTACCAGGCTTTAGGGCTCACCTGAGCATTCATTTCTTTGGACTTTCTAATTGACTCTACCTTACAAGACTTTATCCAGCTAATCCTATGTTTTTGCATATCCTTTGGTATGTATTCTGACATCTATGTATGTTTGTGCTGAGTCCATTCATCTGGTCAACTCAAACTTTTCTCATAAGCTGCAAACTTTTCTCATAAGCCTAGTACTGTGTTAATAAATCCTCCTGTAATAGGCATAAAGGCTGAGACAGAAAATAGTTCTTGCAATTTTGAAGCACACAAGATGATCCTATCCTTGCTCACACAGTTCACTCACTTTCCTTCAGAACTATAGCTGTTCATGCTTCCATCTGTAGATTCACGGCTTGCCTGTCGAGTCATCCAGTTTCTCATTTCTACTGCCAGGCCAGTTTCTGTACTCCTCTGGACAGTACTCCTCAGTTTTTTGCCTCCAGCTTCTGTATCAACACAAAACAAAACAAAAGCAGTGGCATAACTAATCTGTAAAAAAGAAGCAGTAAAGGTACTGGAGATCTCTTCATGAAAAGAACTACATAAATACAATGCACTATTATTATTAAGATAGAAAAAGAAAAGGTGTTAAAACAATGTTCCCTGTGTAGGAAGGGAAAAAAAAACACTAAGAAATCTTTAAAATGGAAGCAAGACACACAAAGTACTATTATTTTATTCAAAGTTATTTATGACAGCACACCAGTTTTTAGCATCACAAACAGAAAAGGTTCAATTTAAGTGAAATAAAAACATACTTTGTTTCCAGTGAACTTTTAAAATGCTTTCTCTCATTACTTACAGTATTATACCTTTTTTCTTTTTGTTATAGAGAAGGGACAAAGCTGAACTATTAAGGAAAGTCAGATATTGAATAATTCCCAAATACTTGTCTTCAATTTTTATATCTAAATGCGAAATAGGAAAGCTTCTCTATTTAGTAACAGCCCAATCATTTATTATAGGAGGACGATGATGATAATTAAAAAATAATGGCAAAGTCTTCCATTCTGGAAGATGAAACCTTTGTAGTGCCATATAAGAAAAGATTTTTTAAAATGCTAGGAAAGGGGTAGGACAAAAACCAATTGAAAAATCTGTCTTTTCTTCCTAAAACAGAAACGACCACAACATGCTAGGGGAACAGGAACAAAGAAAAGTGAAGCAGAAAGAAAATAAGGCAAAAGTGAATTTTGTGAACATAAAAGCATTTGTAAAAATGATCATTTTAGGCTCTTAGAAAAGTATAAGTTGATCTCTTTAATAGTCATGTTAGAATAGATAGCAGATAATTATATTAAATAATGAAATCTACAGGATCCTCATTTTCAATTGTTTGTAACTTGCACATTGATTAACAAACCTCATCTCTGTTTCAGACTTTCCTGAGGGTTTTTCACAGGCTCTGTATTTAGGCCTGAAATAACTTCTCTGCTCCACTGGGCCCAATTTGTCCCTCATTCTCTTTAAAAGATAGCTAAACTAGGAAATCTGTCAAGGGAACTTAATTCCAAATATTTAATCCATACACACATTAACTTCTACACAACTTACTCACTTTCTTCCCACACAACTGTATCTGTTTATCTCCAAGTTTGTATCTATTTCCATGCATATATTACAATTAAGATCTTTAAGTAATGAAGAACCAAGGAAGTCATAATTCTAGAGCTAAAAGGGACCTCAGAGGCTATCAGGCCAATTGCATCATTTTCCAGATATGGAAACTGAGGCCCAGGAAGCTAAGTGGTTTGCCGTAAATCAGTCAGTTAAACAGCATTTATTAAGCACTTAATATGTGCCAGGGTCTCTATTAAGAAAAGTAAAGAAAGGTTAAGTTTAACGTTCCACTGCATCACACTGCTGCTTCTCAATTACTTACATTTGTGGTTAGCATAAGTATTTGAATAAAGGACGTATCTTTTACTCTAGGAACTGACATCAAATAAAAAATGAAGTTATGCTGCAAAGGTGTCATTTAAAAAGAGCTACGAAAACAGTCTGTCCAGATCTGGGAAAATGTTCCAAATCTTACCTTAACCCCTGCCTCAATTATTCCTAAGAATCATTGCATTTTAAGTATAAATTTAAAAAATAGATGAAAAACAGAAAGAAATATGGGTTGATAGAAAATAGGACCTGAGCTGAAATTTGACAGTATTTGGATTCTCAGAGGACATTTCAAGAGGGGAAGTAGCATAAACAAAGACACTGAAGTGGGAATGGGCATGAAGTGGGAATGGGCATGGCAGAAAAAAAGGGGCTAGGAGATAAGCTTAATTTAAATACTGAATTGATAGTAGGAGATAAGGCTGGTCAAGATAACTGGGATTGGATTATGAAGGGCCTTAAATGACAGAATGAGGAATGGAGCTTGGGGGTAGAGGAGCAAGAAGAAGTAGGATGGAAAAAACACTTGAGCTCACTTACTACTACTTACAAGTCATTTTACTTCTTTGAGGCTCAATTTCCTCATCTGTAAGATGAGGATATTATTATTTGTATTACTTACCTCATGGTATAGATGTGAATAAAATGCTTGATTAATCCTAAAGTACTACATAAGCACAAGCTATTCTTCATAATGATTATTTATAAAATATTAAAAATAATTAATAGCAAACATGTTGTACTGATATTGGCATAAGGACTATGTCCCATATAGAAATTTATACACTCTAAATGAATGTTTCGTTCGGTAGTAGCAGAAGTGATGTAAAACAAGTAAATTATTGTGACACTGTGAAAATTAACTATTTACAAATTAACCAACTCCTTAAAATATATACAATCACCTTAACAGACTACAGATCTACTGAATCTAAGGTGTTGGTAGATTCACAGTGATTGAACCACACCCCATCTCTCACTAACATTAATACTGCTAGTGTTACACAGATGGTAAGTAACAAAATACATTAAAATGACATACAAAAGGATCCATAATCTCATTGATGCAGGTTCTCCCTCCAATTGAAAACTGCAACCCATCCACGTCATTTCATCCTGTGTGTTTTTTGTTCATGTTCTTCCACAAATCTTCCTTAAAAGTTCTCCTCAATATGAATGAGGTCTTTATCTAGGTCTTTTACCACTGTGGCACTCAGTCTTTCCATTTGTTATTCATTGTTTTCCCTATAGGACCAGTCCCATCTTCAATGAAACACTTTCAGGATATCACAGACTTCTGCACAATGCTATATCGACAGTAGCTGTGGCCACCTTGTTGCTCATGACCACTTCAGTCCTCTCCCATTTTGAGACACAAAACACATCGTTACATAAAAAGAGACTTCTAGGTTCTATTGCATACACAGAAGATAGTCACTTAATAAGGGTTCATTGAAATTTTGCAGAAGATATAACACTTGTCCAGTAAATGCATGATTATCCTATTTTTCAATACCAAATCCTTTTGGTTATATGAATAGTAAATATTAAACCCAAACACAATTTATTATAATAATTTTTACCTAATAGGTGAAAGGATCTATCACACTACTCTAAAAACATTTTGCTACCAACAAAAACTACTGACTTTTATGTCCACTTACTCATTTCTACAATATTTTTATGAGATTAACTGATTCATATATTGAAGGTACCCAGATAAAGGTTTGAAAAGATCAGGTAGGCTTTCATAGATAATATTCTACCATGGAACAAATCACTAATTCATACAATTGAATCAAGGATATATAGAACACAAGGTCCCACTATGCTTATTGTCTGTTAACTGTGAAAAAACATTTGTTTAGCAGAGTAAACTGGTACTTTGAAAGATATCTTCCAACAAGGTATCTCATAAGAATATGTCAAAAATCCTGGAAATCACTAAAAAGAGACAATATTTTGTTTGAACTTTTGTTCAAAGTCATGACACTCCCTAACCAGTTCATTAATCTTGAATTCATGGTCAACAACACTGTTACTCACGCCTGAGTGAAGCATATCTAAAACACATGTTTTTTCCTTACAGCACATCTCAGACTTCCTGCCCTTAGGAGCTCTGGACAGTACAATAGCACTACATTTGGAAGCCATTTTAAACAGTGAAATCACCAATAAAAAGAACAAAAATGTGTAAAACAAGTCACTAAAGAAATTGCAAAAATGATACTTGTTTACAATATGAGAGCTGAAACAAAAAAGCGATATTGCCTTGTTTGACCTCACTTGGGAATGTGAATGTCAGGTGACTCAAAATTTTCACCATTTTGAGCATTCCACAAACTATTATGAAAATACCATAAGTATTGGTTTTGGAATTACAAATAAATTTTTAACAAATAGATGAATTTTCCAATACAGAATTTATGAACAATCAGGATCAATTGTATATCTTATTTTCATAAAAATGTTAAAAAGGTAGAAAACAAAGTATAAGGGTCAATAGTTGTTTATACTAATAAGGTCTGAACTTCTTCCACTTTTTGGAATATTTCATAGAATAAAATGACAAAAAGAGACAACATATCAAAACTTACACGGTGCAGCAAAAGTAATATCTAGAGGCTGCTAAATTTATATTTTTAAATATTTGCATCAATAAGAAAGAAGCAGATCAATAAATTGGGCATATGATTAAAAAAAAATCTAGAAGAACAACTAGTCAAAATACCCCCAACAAAACAGTAAGTAGAAATATAAAGAAACGGAAGTGATCACTAAAAATAAAAGTATGAAATATTTAAAATTTGGTTGATAAAAATAGGAGCTTTTTATAAAGAAACTAATAAAATATGTAGTTGTAATCGCATTTTAAAAATTGTTTTCATCGAAAATTAAAAGAATTCACAAGTGAAGAGGAAATAAGAGACTACAAAAAATTGTTGTCCAATAATATGCCAATAAAACTTATAATTTAGATCAGATGTCAAATTTGAGGCACCAAGGTATCTTGAAAAACTTTTCAGTACCTCACAACTAGATTAAAATGTAATTGGGAAATGTTTAACAAATAAATGTAAATATAATACAGCATAGATAATGTGAATTTCTGGTTTTCTGAGTTAATGTGTAGCTGCACAGATCCATTTCTATCTGAGTCTGACACCAATGACTTACATGAAATAATGGATGGATATTTATAACAATGTTACATATCTAAGTTAACAGAATAACTTGTTTATCTAAATCAGGGCTTCTTAAACTTCTTCCACTCAAGGGGACCCCTTTTCATGATTCACAGGGTTCCTTGTTGTTACATGACCTGAGGGCATGCACAATGCAAAGTGTGCATGCTTTGTGTTTGGAACCAAGGCTACAGTGAAGATGCAAGATGAAACATAGGCAAGTGCAGCCAGAAACACCTCAGATTCATTATGCATTCGATTTTTAATAAATTTCTAGTCATTGTGTGTTCAGAAACCTTTTACTATGACCAATTTTTTTGTGATCTCATATGGGGTTGCAACCCACAGTTTAAGAAGCGCTGATCTAAATA